TCCTAGTGCCTGGCCTCTGGGCCCACGCTCTGGACAGAGCACCTCTTGGCGATGCCCAACAAGCCAAGTCTCTACAAGGGCCCATGCCTTACATGTGCTTTCACACAGCCTGGGGTGCTCCGCTGTACCTGGAAACCCCACACCCCAGCTGCAGTCACTCCCCTTCAGAGCGGCTCCCCAGTCATTCTGCAGCAGCACCTACATGGTGAAGCATAGCCTACCACCCGCATGTCTGTGTCCCAGTTAGGCTAACTGGTCTGTTTACAGTGAGGACGGTCTGGATATTGGGCCAGTGAATCTGGGATATGCTGACGACTAAGCAGCTGAGTTGGAGGACAGGAGGGTGCACCCTCCTGCACCCCACTCTCTCCTCTCTGCTCCTAGCACATTTCACTCAGGAAAGACCAGGGCCCGTGTCTGAGAGGTAAAAGTGAAAGTGAGCTGCCTCGGGGAGGAAGAAATTGCAGGGAACAAATGTTCCTGAACTTGACCACAAAGCCAAGAAGCAGATGAAAGCTCTCCAGACACCTGGCACTGCCTTCCAGACGCCAGCTTGCTTGCTGACACACTGAGAGGCAGCACCTGGCCCCGGCACTACTGATGGGTCAGGTGAGGGGACTGCAGGCAGGTGGGCAGGGAGCCAGCTGTGTGTGTGCACATGTCCGTCCCTGACAGGGGCTGATGCACATGCCAGGACCCTCTCTCTCAAGGGGCTTCCCTCAGGAGTACGGAGCTGGTGGTGCTCCTGCTGCTAGTGCTGGAGGCTTTGGGTAGAATTCTGGGGAGAAATTTAGGCCCCCGTCTGAGAAGGGTGTGTGAGCCTGGACAAGGCATAGTGCCTTCCACCTCCTATGCTGTGGTGAGTGCTTGCCGGCAGAGAACACAGGGCCACCTGGTCTAGTGCACTTTCCTGGTGTGTGTTTGGGTGAGGCTGGGAGAAGGTGTTGACGAAGCAAATTATAAAGTGTTTCAAAGACAAACAAGTCTGTCTTAGACTACAGAGGAGATAACACTAAAGCTGAAAGTCTCTACCCTGAGTCCTTGGAGCAGCTGCCCAGACTATCATCCTACAATGAGGCTGGTTGACAATAGAAATGTCCCAATGATCCCAGGCGAGGAGGGTACACATAAACCCCAGGCTGTATGGGGCCCTGGCTGTATGGGGGCAGGAACCCCCAGCTTTATCAAGCACTGATCTATACAGCCTGGTTCCAACAGCAAGGTTCCTCATGACATGTCAGCTGCGGCCGGCCCAAATAAGTAAAGCTCAGAAAAATAAAGGCATCTGGGCCTCTTACCCACAGCAAAGCCCTGACAATGACACTTTCTCCCTCAGAGACCCACTCAACAATGTTTACCTAAGGAGACTTCCTTATCATTGGGTCTGGCTATTGCTGTGATAATCAGTAAAGGAGAATAAAGGCCAGCAGTGATAATGTACAAATCCACAATTTACAAGTTTATTGAAAAAAGGGTACCACTGAAAAACAGGCTAAACCTTTACAGGAGGTACTGGAATAAAGTTCTTTGGAAACAGATTTGGACTTCATATATTGAATGATCTCTGAGTTGCTATTATAAACACTTAGAGAAATGGCTCGGGCTGAGGTGCTTCCTAAAATTACAAGAGTGAATGTTTCAACACAGATTAGTATTCCGCTGAGACTGAAGAAACTAGAGGGTTCTCGCTCGGGGAAGGCTGGTGGGGCAGGAGGCCCAGGGTGGGAGAGATGCGATGTGCACAAGGGAAAGGCTATGGAATTTTGACTGAATACCTGGGAAAGCATCCTAGCTTTGTGAACGTTCCAGCTAAATGACCTTGGGCAAGTCACTTATCCTTTTCCAACCTCACTTTTCTCATCTGTAAAATGGGAATAAGTTTAAATTTTATCTCTTTAGAGGTCATTCTTTTTCTTCTGCCTTTCACATCCCAGTTCCAACTCATCACCAATCCTGACTCTCCCCCTTCAGAATGTGTCCAGAATCCAGCCACTTCTCACCACTCTCCCACTACTCAAGCCTCATTCACCTCAAGCTGGGTCACCCCAGCAATGCCTTACTGTTCTCCCTGCTGCTGCCCCTGCTCCCATACCAATTCTCATCAAACAGCCAGAATGACCATGCTAATCCATTCAGAAGTTGGATCATTCACTCCATCTCCAACCCCTCTCACTCAGCTCTGGCCCTGATGGCTGCCTGCTTCACACACCAGGCACCCTCTGTCAGGGCCTCCCATTCCCTGAACCCAACACCTTCTCCCAAGGTGTGATGTCCTTCTCTGACCATCACATTTAAAACTGCAATTCTCAACCCCACCCCCTCTTCTTTCCTGGTTCATTTTTCTCCATAGCATTGATCACCATCTAATATATTGTGTTCGTCGTCTGTCTCCCCCAACTAAAATGTAAACTACATAAAGATAGTGATTTTGGTCTGCTTTGTTCTCTTTTTTTTTTTTTAATCTTCACCAGAGGATAAACTTTCATTGATTTAGAGAGGAAGAGAGAGAGAGAAATATCGATTGGCTGCCTCCTGCACATACCCTGACAGGGACTGAACCCTCAACCTACGTATGTGTCCTGACTGGGAATTGAACCCACAACCTTTTGGTGCTTTGGGTATATGGGATGACGTCCCCACCAACTGAGCCACCGGGCCAGGGCTGTCTGCTTTGCTCTTAATTGTACTCCTAATGCCTAAACCACTGCCTGGCACACACAAGTGCAGTAAGTTTTTATTGGATAGATGGACAGATGGACAGATGGAAAAACAGCATATGAACTAATAGCAGGGTTTTATGGTCAGACTAACCTGGCTTCAAATAATCATGCTGCACAAATTCTTTTTACTTTTTTTTTTTTTTTGTAATCTGAGTCCTTTGTCAAGTTCCTCTCTCAGGTTTTTCACCTGTCGAATGTGGATAATAATACCCATCTCACAGGGTCATTTGTAAATTCTCAATAAGTAATTGTTATTAGCTTGTTGTGAGCCACAAATGAAATGATGATATATAAAAGCACTGAAAAACTTTAAAGAAATGTAAGACTATTTTATGGGGCACTCTGGATGTGCCAGGCATTGTTTTAAGCCTTTTTTTTACATGACTGAAGC